TTATAGTATAAGTTATGTAGTATTGAATATGAAGTATTTAATTATTAGCGGCCGAAAACCATTTTTGAAGCAGCATGAAATATTAGAAATATTAGTTTTTAATATATATATATTTAAAAAAATAATAACTGAATATATTTATATTAATTAACGCATAATATAAACAAAAATGAGGTGCGAAAATAAATAAATTAAATTTTTTGCGGTTTAATTAAGAATAAGGCACGGAAAAAAATAAAAAAAAGAAACTCATAAAAGATTTTAAAGTCTAATATCATATCTGTGTTTAACCTAAATTTAAAATCCTTATAAAAACAGACCCCGGAAAAAAATATGTGAATGTTAATAGAAAACTGACAGCTATAGCTATGTCAAGATAAAAATCTAAAAGATTGTTCTGGATATTCTAGGAGATATCTAGATCCCAATATCTAGTCATCTAGATATACCATAGATGACTAGAAGATAAGAATCTAGATTGAAGTTGAATTTAAAGATCTGTCAGGATCAAGGAACTGAATAAAAAAGAAATTTACGTTAAAATCGAATTGAGAGGCTTGTGGAAAAGAAAGAAAAGAAAAAAGAAGAGCCAGATTTAAAGACAACTTTAAAGTTCTATCAAGATAAACGGAATCAATAAACAAGTTTTATATTGTCGAAAAATTGTGGGAAATCTATATAGATACTGCTGGATACTGGATAATGCTTTGCATATGGAAGTTTTTCAGAAAAATTTGTGTTCTTGACCTAAGAATGGTAGTTCTTAAGTGAATAGCATAAAATTATAAATGAGAAACAAATTTATGCATCGGAATAATGCTATACCTTTAACCAAATTGTAATGCTCTACAGAAGACACATTAGACCAGGGTGTTTCAACTTTTTTAGAATACCAAAAAAGTGGAGGCTTTACGTTATAAACACAAGGAATGTATGGAAAGATAAGCAGATCAGATGAATAGTTATCCTTCTCACTGTTATGAGAAGTAGTTTCTTCAGATCTAAATATCATTACAGCTTTATAGTTATACTAATCATAATATACAGATATAGCACAGGTGATATGAATACTTATCTGTAATATTGTTATAAACCATACCATTTATTTGAATATGGAGGATAAATAAGATATAATATATCATAACCGAAAGGGCAGGTAATTAAGTAACAAAAACTACTTTGATCTTTAGTTCAAAAATTCAGTCATTGCTGGCTTACTTTTGGTGTGAGAATGGATAACGATGCTTTATCGAAAAAGGAGTTTGCTTTAAGGAAAAAGGAGATAGAATAAAAAGACATAATGGATGAAGTCTTTTCGGTGGAGTATTTAAATTGGGAGAGCACTAATCGCACTTGTTGTGTAAGACTACTGAAGGTAAACAAGTAGCAATGGATCCTGGAAAATTCTGTTCTGTCAGGCGGAAACCCGATGACTGGGCGAGAGTTGTAGTGGTGAATCGAGTAAAAAAGTAAAGTGAAGAAATAAAAAGTGAATAAGTTAGCGTGAGTCAAAATGCCACATAGCATTGCAATTAGGGTAAGCGATTTTTTATATTTTAAATAAAATATTTAATTGCTGTGAATGTTGCAAAATCGCTTATTCTTTTTGACAAAAATGAAAACAAAAATCATTGAAAAAATCATTATGGCAAATTTCTGTTTTAGAAGTGGAACATGCCAAAGAACTGAGCGGTTAATCGATTCGCTATAAAACTCATTTGTATGGTGAACAAATTATTATAAAAAGTTATTAGACTGTTGCTAAATCTATGAGAAATTTGTGTCAAAATATTACGTGAGAATTGTCGACAATTCGTCATACTTTGACCGACGAAATTTGCATGCTGCAGCAATTGCTGCAACGATGGCCAACTGCGCGTGAAACAAAATGCAACAAGGCGTTGCAATTTGGGTGAAATTGCTCGGAACAACACAACAAAAATGTATTTAGACGTAGTAGATACATTGCTAATGGCTCTAAATGATGTATTAAGTGTTTTGCGGAGTATGCAAAAATATTGCGATTTTCTAGTATTTTGGCTTGTATGCAAAGTGTGTGGCTGAAGTGTTTTATTGTCAAGAAATGCCGGTAATAGAGTTTCATAAACAAAAGCACTATAAGAAAATAAAAGCAAATAAAAAAATATATAAATAAAATATATTAAAATAAAAATATTTAAATCAAATATTAAATTTATATACATAATTTGTAAATTTATTTTTTAATAAATTGAAACTCACCTTGACAAATTCTCCGTTCCAATGGCCAGTGGTCTTGTCTGAATTTTAAATTTGAAGGGAAAAAAATTAAATGCATCTGAATTGATTTAAAAAAATTATTAAAGGTAATTTTTGCTTACCCGTTCAGTTTGTGTTGCTGTATTTATGCACTCTTTAGTAATATCAGTTTTAGCATTTGGACCTGCCGCTTTTTCAGCCTCTAATTTTTCAATGAGATTTCTTTGCAAACGTATCGTCCGATCACGATCATCAACTTGACCCTAATTTTTTATAGTTCATTTTAAGAAATAAATAAAAACAAAAAATTTAAAATAAAAATAAAAATAATAAAAAGAGATAAAATTAAATTCCATAAGTAAATTGTAGTGGCTATTAATTTTATAATAATTAACAATAATTACAACAGTAAAAAAATAAAACTAAATATAATTAGTCTCAAAAAAAACTGAATAAAATTAATTATAATTTTATTTTTGCAATATTATTTTGATATTTTTTTTTTAATCTCTAGTAATTACAGTGGTAAAAAGCTTTGCAAAAAGAAACTGCATTTTATCTAAGAAAAAAGTATGTCAGGCAAAAAAGCCATAAAATGTTAATAATAAATAATTTAAGTATAATTATCTTTATAATTTTATTTAAGTTAATTGAGTTATAAATGAATGAGATACAAACACGTTTTATTTATTTAGCAATCATGAAAATACGTGCAGAATTTTATTTTGTTTTAGTTAATATAAAAAAAATGCATTTTGAGTATAATTGAGATATTGTATCTTTTGTAAGGCAGCAAAGGAGTGTTAACTATGAGTCCTATGAAAAAATTCATACTAAAATTAGTAAGATATGGTATTACCCTATATTGCATTTACAGTAATATTTTCTAACGTAAGGCATACAAATGAGCAATTTGACTACATAAGTAAGGATAACTTGCCTATGGATGTGCTATGTCGTACCATTGAAATATCCACTAAAATTTTGAAATTTGACCTTTCGATCGCCGTTCAATTTGAAACAACAAATCGTCATTCACATATATATGTGAATTAAATAACTTTTAACATTAGAAACGGAGAATATGAGAGTGCTTAGAGCGCTTACATGTGTAAAATAAGACATATAAATAGTCGATAAATTCAGATAACCAAAGACCTTGGGTCATTTAGAAGCTAACGTTCACAGAGTACGATTGATATATGGTTGTTATACGGTTAATATATAACTTTCAAATTTTATATCATCCCAGTCGCTCACGATGCTCAATGCGCATTATAATAATCTTTGTATATAGAAATTTTTAAGAATTGTACTATAATTTCAATATATTTAATTTTATCTTAAAAATACAAATTCTAAAAAGACGCATGTCTTCTTAGAACCATAACAATCAGTTATAAATTTTGCAAAAAATTTTACCACTCCAATCTTAATAATATATACACTAACAATCAATTAAAATTTAACTAAAATTAATATTAAATTACATACTATGAACAATATATATATGTATATATAAAAATAGTGCTGTCTGTGTTTTAATAACATAAAATCTTATTATGTATCTGTATTATACATGTTACTTTTATGTACATGCGCTAAAGGTTTTCCATTTACTAAATAGGCAAAAAACTATATAAAATAATTTAATTACAATTTTTGAAAGAAATATATTTGAATGCCTTTTACAAATAAAACAACACTACATATAAAAAAGCATTAAAAGAGATACTCGGTCTTGTATATATAAAACCGTAAACTATAACTAATGGAATTGCACAAATGTGGGTTTCTGTAGTCTTCTTTTTTTTTTGCAGAAAAAAATTTTTTTTTATGTATTTTTACAACTAAAACCCACTATTTTAGTAAATAATGTATGGAGATAAAATATTTTGTAAATTAAATGTTTGTAAAAATATGTTCAATATATTATAATATCTTAAACAAAAATATAATAAAGGTTTTGTATTAATGGATAATATATTTAGTAGGTAATTAGAACGAACTAATGTCAGGTTTTTGGAATTATAACTATAATAATAACTTGGTGTCATTGTGATTTTATTTAAGATAATAATATACTTCTATATGCAATATACTAGGGACGGTAATGCAGTTCTTCACTTCATGGATATTTAGAAATCAAACATACTTATACCTTAGCAAGTGTTATAAACCTATCAATTACTTCTTTCATATTTTTTTTATGTAATAATAATTAATAATGTTTTTTATGATAATAATATACTATGATAATTGTTGATAGTTTGTTTTTTTGTATACAAAATGAAACTAGTAGACATCTGTATCAAAACCAAATAATTATCTTTAAATCTACTCTACTTCGCATATACTATCTAAATATAAAAATAGTTTAGAAGTATCAACACACACAATATTTAAACTAATATCGTATTTTATCGAGATCTATTGAAAGATATATAAAGATTGAGACTTTAATAAGTAATTCAAAAAAGAAAACTTTCGTTAACATCATTTTATTAGTATAAATGCGAGCAGTAAAACATTTGAGAGACGGAGAATGAGAGTAAATTAGTTTTTTCTAACCCATTTTTTTTACTTATAAGCTATCTTGAACATTACCACATAGGTCAAGTACAGAGTTTGAGAAAGCATATAAAAAAATCTTAAAAATCGCCACTAATATTTATAATTTATTTGTAAATTTTAAGATTCCTTAGTTTAAGTCCCCAATTAATAATAATTAATAAAAGTAATCGAAAGTAGCTGGTCTGGTCTTATAATCCGAAATTTGGCGTTCAAACAAGTAACTTTATAAAGAATCTATAACTGTGAGCACTAAATTAACATGGATAACATTATAATACTATATTAGATACATTTTAGTTTAATTTTTAATTTAATTTTTAATTAATATATAATTCAATTATATATGAGACCCATAATATAGTATCAAAATTTGGTTCAAGTTTCCGTAATGTAGACTGCCGCAAGACGTTTGATAACGACAAGAAACATTGAATAAAAAATGTAGAGATAAGAACCTCAAACGAAAAATTTAAATTTATGAATGAAATAGATTATGTATCTCTTATAATCAAATGTTATCACGAACGTGCTAAGCTTGTGAAGCTAGAGAATGAAGCTTTAATTTGAACCACATAAAGTCTTTATAATAGTAACTATACAAAGTTATCTACGGGTACAAATACTATGAAGCTGTTAAGTCACATAAAGCAAATTAAAACTGATATTTTGAAATTTAGTAATCTTTTTCTCTTGAAATATATAATAAATAAGCATTTGTAATTTGTATGTGACCGAACAATATTATTTTTTTAATAATATATGATTGTATATAAAAACAATCATATCAGATGATAATAAAACCATAATCTCTGACTCTCTGACTTTCTTAAGCAATTTCCCTCTATTAATGAAAGGTTGCTTTACATTAGTTTATAGAAAACAAACATTAGGTACTAATATACAAGGGATTACAAATTAATACAATAGGTATATCCAAAAGCACTCTCATTGATGGGAAGCATTTAACCGATGTGCTAATAAACACCTGATTGAAATAATTTGATGAAAATGTAATACAAACAATATCATTAAATCAATGAACATGACCTGAAACCATCGATGGGTTATTTAAGATTAAGTAGTTGTACTCAATGGATTTAAAAAACAGTTCGATGTGAATGGTTTATATTTTAGGCTAATCTGGTCTTTCATTGTATTCATAATGAAAATAATACAAAATTTTTGATTTTATTGGTATAAAAGTT